AGGTATAATTATACGGGTTATGGGTGTTACAGGGAATCCATTTATGTTGATGACTTGACGGTTGCAAATGATTATTATGAGTGGTTCAACAGCAATGGGAAACTATTTCTGCTTTCCGATGATGCACGAGGATGAAGCATTCATCGATGTCGACAGAGACGTGCACCATCACAACCCCATCATCCCCCGACTCATGGACGGAGAGCATGTGCTTCCGGTTCGTCGTCAGCTGCACCACCGAAACCTTCATAGCAACCACCGTCTACAGTGATGTACACCCCACAATCATATCTGATGCCGCCACCGCCTTTCCCTTACCAGATGTCACCTCCGCCACCGTCACAGAGTTATATGACCCCTCATAGAGGATATTATGGGTCTATATTTGCAGATCTGACTTGGGGTTCATATGCTAGTTATTTGGCGGGTGCAGCCTCATCACCAATGGCCGCCACATAGACACATCCTGTACAGTTTTCTCATTCGTCGATGTCTGTGTTTTCTGAGTTTTCCCAGTTTTCTATGAGCAGTGGTTAGTTAGCATACACCTCTAGGGTCCTTATTCTATGGAGGTGCTACATCGTCATCAGTTCCTCATCAACAAAATGTATCTTCTCCTGACGACGACGATGATGATGATGGTGATGACAGTGAGGAGTCACAACCAGTTATATGAAGAAATCCTCCTCGGACCGACAGTCACCGCCCTGCGGAACACATTCGCACCGCAGACATCGATAGTTTTTGATATTTTATTATATTTGTATTTACTTGTTTATTGGACTTTCTTTATTCTAATTTTTTATTATTTATCATTTAATACTTAATTTATTTTGTTAATTTTGTTGGACTTTTTCTTAATTAATTTTGTTAATTTTGTTTATTACCATTTAATACCAGTTATTGTATTTTTTATTATTTACCATTTAATACTTATTGTAAGTTTGTTGTATTTAAAATTATATTCAAACACCAAATTGCTATTAGTTGGATAAAATTTAATAATTGTGTTCGATAACTTTCTTAAGTTTGTCACTTATTATCTCTTTTATTATATTCACATATAACACCAACGTCGAATCCTGTTTTCTTGTATTTTTTTAATCGTCATCAGTGGTTATCAAATGACATTAACTTTAAGTAAATGTAAATTAAACTACACGAATTATTTTTGATAAATAACAACTACAACAGTTCCTCATCAATAGTTACTTGATGACAAAAGAAGTGGACATGTTCTTTTAGTGTGTCTTGAGTTTTTACAATGCCCACATTTTTTTCGTGTCTAGATGTTTCTCGAATATCTATATCACAATGAATTCGAGTGGATTTTGGACGACCACGCTCCCTCAATAAAGTAGGATCTGGTATAATCGGAACCCAATTCTGAACCTCATTAGGGTCTTTGCCATTACCTATGGGGGGAACTCAAATTCGTATACCTTAAACACTTCTGATAGTAGGTATACGATATCCACAAAACAGTTATAGTCTTGACAGGTACGCGAGCAAGCTGCTATCACATGAGAGCATGGATACTTCAGAGCTTGGAAAAACCCGTAGTCGCACCATCTGTTCTGTAGATTTACTCTTAACGACACAACTTCAATCCCTTGAAGAGGTCGCGGCAACTCTGTGACACGAAACAATTCATGCGTTCTAGAGAAGCTTGTAACAGACATTTCATTTAATGCATCATTTTTTTGTAGATCTGTAACTAATCTAGGGTGATAGACATGTCCGCCTTGCATCCATGTTTGAGCTTCGCAAAAAGTACCCCCAAACAAAAATATATAGTTTTTACCAAAGCTGCTACAGATAACTGACGTGCACCCTTTAAGGTCGAATTGATTGCCTCAGCCAAGTTGGTCGTCATGTGTCCATATCGATATCCACCATCATATGCGTTTGTCCACATTTCTTTATCGATGAGCCTGATGTAATCGTATCTTTCCTCGTTATTCGCCCGCAAATCTTGAAGCATGATTCAAATGTTTGAGGTAGTAGTTCGTAACCTGAGCATAAAATGTATAACTTACTAACTTTGTTTATTTAAAAAATGAAAATGATCGAAAGAAAAAAAAACTACAGCAGTTTCACTTACCCATCCGCACAAGTAATTGACACTCATCATTCTTCTTGAACCTTCCATGGTAGTTCGCAGCAATGTGTCAGATACAATACCTATGTTGGACAAAGGGTAGTTGTCACATTGGACCCAAAGACTCCATTGTTGCTTTGATCCCAGCTCCGCGATCTGAAATGACACATATTTTTTCCCTCGTGATAACATGTGAACGTAAGTTTCGGAGGAAAAAAGCCCAAGCATATATATCTTCTCCTTCAATAAGAGCAAAAGCAACTGGAAGAATATTGCGATTACCATCTTGGACAACTGTCAATAGTAAAACTTGCTTGTATTTTCCATACAAGAAAGCCTCGTCGATCTGGACCACAGGCTTGTAGTATTTGACGCATGAATGCACATTGGGTAAGTCCAAAAAACCCGGTAGAATTGGCATCGATCACGAAGAACTCGATCATTATGGTATGCATGAGAGGTTTCGAAGTCCACAATTATCCCAGGATTCAAGCTCTGCACCATAAACCAACTTGGAAGTTCGTTGTAAGATGCATCCCATTCGCCTGAAGTTTTTTAATGGCATTCTGCTTTGTCTTCCATGTTTTTTTGTATGAGACAGAATACCCATACTATGATTGTATAGCTGAAATCAACACAACAATAGATGTATGTGAGCTTGCTTTTACCTTGGGAATGATGGTTTGGCATATCACTTCAGAGTCTAGTTGGGATGATCTTGGTTGATCCCTACATCACAACATGTGTGAGGACCGTTACATATCGTTAGTTCCCATATATTGGTTTTCCTCTTCCTCTTCGATACGCAAACCATCTAATTGCATCCGTTTTCACGTTGGGCACAGTGACATACATATTTTTCTATCGTAGAGCGGGCAACTCTAGATTGAACAGAATTACGAATATTGTAATTTTTTATAACCATCATCGCTTCTTCTTTTCTTGAAAACTCCATGCCTAAATATAACTCACAATTATTTATTGATGAGTAAAATCCATAGCTATCGAGATGAGGTATATCTGGAAATTCTGACCCGTACATTGCACCATAGTCAACTTCATACATGTGTGCTGGAAGTTCAGTTTGTGCCATATTTGAGGGAATTTCATCTACATCATCATCATCATCATCATCATCATCGGAGTTGAACTGCAGTGATTCTGGGTGAATGAATAGTCCAGTCTCAGCACCATCCGCACCTGGCTCACGAAGTGGTTCTTCTGGTGGAGATGATGATTCTTCCATGCTCTCCACATTTAGGTCGAAGAACCTACTACTTGCATGTCTTCCCCTTGAACTAGAAGGCATATCGATATTGAGATCGAAAAAGCTCGCAGTTGAATGCCTCCCCTTGGAGCTTGAAGCCATCGTGTCAAATGGAAACTGTACAGATTGTTACGTCGAGGGCATGTCCATATTAAGGTCAAAGAAATTGGCAGATGAATGTCTTTCCCTTGAACTGGACACAATGTTTCCATACGTATTGTTCGTGGACTCACATCGGTACAGATCGTAAGGAGTTGCTGATGAATATCTCCCCATTGAAGTTGATGGGACGACACCATGATGCAGATTTCTCATTATGAGATTAAAATCATTACACATTACTGTAGTCGAGCTGTCAACTTGATCTGCTAGCCCATAGTGGGAGCTTAATGACAAACCTCGAACAACACGTACTTCAACAAACTTTGCATACATCATCGTAGCGGCGTCTGAATAATTATTTTGAGAATCAACCATCATTTCAACATCATCATTGTTCGATAGTTTGAACGTTATATAAGTTAATGGCAACAATGATGTTGGAAATTTGTACTGAAGCGTTGACATTCTTATAGTACTTCTAGCACTTCCAACATGAACCTTCCTTGAAATTTTCGTTATCAGCTCTTCAAGAGTTATGTTTCTCTTGAAGGATATTTTAACATAATAATTTGATACGAAAAGAACATCGGTTTCATCTTCTCGAATTTATCTATTATAATAAACAATAGCTGAAATTCGCGCCATTCTTAGAGTTTGAAAGTGAAACAATATTATATCTGCAAAAAATAAACATGAAACAAGCATAAATAAATAAATAATATATGAATTAAAATATAAGGAAATAAAATGTTTACACAAAAATGTAAATAATTTAAATAATATAATTTTATATTATTACCGTATCGGCAAAAATATTTCGACGTATGCTCCCGCTTTCCAATTTTACAACCACAAAAATTAATTGAAAACAATTACTACAATATTTGTTTTTCAAATAATCATATATAATTATAAAAAATATTATAAAAAATTACTTTATAACGAATGATCGAACGAACTTCTTAATCAAATATAAGAGGATTGTTGGGTTTTATTTACTAGTTGAGAGAATTATTGTATTAGTTTTTCGGTTGAGAGGGAGTTGTGAGAGAGTTTACGGAGAAGAGAGGTTTTATAGCCGAAAAGAGACGCTTTAAACCCGAGAAGTGTTGATGCAATTATGCAACGCGGGGCCCATACACCGTGTCATTCTAAGGCATGTCATAATTGCAGGAAGGTGCGACACATGCACCGCGCTATACCCTAGGTGGCAGAAGGCGCAACCTATACACCGCGCCTTACCCAGCGTGTCGCCATGTCAGCATAAGGCACGGTGCATGAGCCGCACCTTACCACACGTGGCGCCATATCAACGTAAAGTGTGGTGCATGGGCCGCGCCTTCTTGAAAAGAGTGTTAGATCGAGAAATAAATATAAAAGGGTGTCTGACAGAGAAATAAAATTTTAAACGGTAATTTTGGGGGAAAATCGTCCAACTAATTAGCCCAAATTAAGAAGGAAAAATATTACAAAAAAAAAAAACCGAATTTAGCGGAACCGACGGCTCATAAGGGAAAATATCACAACGCTTTCCCATTTATCGCAAAAGAGAAGATCCACCAGACTCTTCCCTCTTTATATTCTTCACGCAACCCTATTACCAACTGTCCCGATGGCCACCACCGCCACTACTGCATCCGTCACCGTTGCCGCCAATTTAATCACAGAACCGAACCCTAAGAAGTCCATGCCATCATCCACGTATATGTCAGATCCTCCTACAACTGTTACCCTTTCCAATGCTGAAGGAACTGGGAAGGGAATCGAAGATTCGAAGGCCACGGGGACTACTGCGGGATCTGTCGCAGGGGATACCAGCGGTCCCGTTAACGATGTCCAGAAGAAGATTCGCCGAGCTGAGCGGTTTGGCGTGCCTGTCCAGTTGTCCGAGCAAGAGAAGCGTAATTCTAGGGCCGAAAGGTAATATTCTTCTATTTTACCTTTTCGTTTTAGGTAGTATTTAGGGCTTCCTTTGGTTTAACCTAGTTGGTGAGCATTTCTGAAGAGAAGATAAGAAATTATTAGTATTTTGTTTTGGTTCTAAAATGTATATTCTGATAATTTTCTTTAAATGCGATTGTTGATTGTTGGTGCCCTCAGAATCCTAGATTAGTACATTTGAAATTTGTTCATTGTTTAGATCGTGTAGAATCCCTTAGAAGCTCTTTATTTCCAATTTTATTCTTTTTAATAAATTTATCCGTTGGTTATTAAGAATTTAGATGGGTTGGATTTTTGGTCCACCCGAGATCCAACCAACCCGACCAAAACAAGATTTCACCCGACCCGAGAACAAGGAATCCTCCACCCGATATCCAACCCAACCCGACCAAAACAAGATTTCACCCGACCCGAGAACAAGGAATCCTCCACCCGATATCCAACCCAACCCGACCAAAACAAGATTTCACCCGATACGAAAAAAAAAAAAATTTTATTCAATAAAAACAGTGACTTAATTGAAAAAAATATATAGATGGGTATTATTATAATTATTCCTAACTATCTAAGATAAAATTATATTTTTTTTCTGGTCGGGTCGGGTATTTTTCACCCTAAACCCGAATCCGACTTGAACATCACATTTAAAAAACCAGACCCAACCCGTTAAAAAAATCGGACCCGATCGGGTCAGGTCAGAACCCGTCGGGTTTGGGTTCCATGTCCATCCCCAAGTATAACCCCTTTATAATCTTACCTTGTTGCCTTGGTAAACATGCCTGCCTTATAACCTTACCTAGTTGGCTCGGTTTTGTGTTGTGTTGGAAGGAATTTCTTTTTACTGTAAAGATCTAGTAAGTGTAGTTGTGGAAGTTGAACTCCATTTCTTGAGTTTCCTGTGTTTGTTGATTTGTGGACCAATTTTGTAGGTTTGGCACTGCACCCTGCTCAAAGGGATCAGAAGCGTCCAAGCAATCAGAGGAGGTGAAGAGGAAGGCTAGAGCAGAGAGGTTCTTATCCATACCAACTTTACCTGTGATGGTATTGCTCGGAGTTGCATTTAATTGGTTTATTGATTCTTTTCCTGGGTTTCCAGGTTTGGGCTTGCCGTACCCTCTACCGCTGTTGATGAGGCAGAGAAAAAGAAAGCTCGTCTTGCCCGATTTGCACCATATGCCAAACCTGATACAGTGGAAGGAGAAAAAAGAAAAGCTAGGGCAATAAGGTCTGTTCCAATGCGAAAACACTGTTTACTACATTGTTAGATATCTATAATGCCCACAGAAATCTTTGAAAAAGGATTATTATGTATGTTGATGTTGATATTGAAATTTGAACTTTTTTTCTCTTGGTCTTTCCAGATTTTCTAATCCTCCATCAAGTTCTTTAGCCCAGGTAATTGACAAGGGGAATATGGAACCAGTAAGGGCTTAATTTGTTGTTTCTCAGTCAAATTTCATGGATCTGAGAAAAATCCAGTTTTTTAAAGGTATATACTCTTTTTCAGGAGGCTGCTATTGCTGAAAAGCTGGTGGAGGTCTCTAAATAGAAATTACCGTAGTTAGAAGGTATCTTTGAAGATATGCATTTCTGTATGTACACAGATTTACTTTTTTAAACAGGTCCATCTATATTATTCAGTTAGTCATATTTTGATTGTTTTCTTTTCCTTTTCAGGTCCATAGACCTAACAGCTTGTGATTCTCTTGAAGCTTCTTTACAGTGTTCTTTTTCCTAACATCAAAATTCTAAGAGCAGTACTCCATCTCCAGATGAATTTCCAAATCAGTGGCAAAGTGTTTTTGGCAGTTTGAAAGGTTTCTATTCATTTGGTGAGGCCTCTTGGAATCAACCACCACCTGGAGTGTTCACCTACCTCAAATCTTACAAAGAGTATTGGAAATTGTTGAGTAATGGCTAGAAATTTTCTACTTTTCCTGTTAGATAATTTAATTAATTATGGAGGTGGTTACTAGAGTCAACTTAAAAATTAATGAGTTTTGTTTCTTACACTGTTTTAAGTTATAAAGTATGATCAAGTGTGAGACAGCAGTGGTAGTCATATTGAGTCTGATATTTATTTCCATGGGTTAAAATAGAAAATGATATATGCTTGTTAGGAATTCTGATGCTCCACTTCTCATTTTCTAATGGTACTCTTACTGTTTTTAATATGTTAAGGCTTGTAGGGTTTTTAATATGGTACTCTTTGTTTCTGTATTTAGATTTTTTTTTGAGGAAGTCTGTAGTCTGGGAGTTGGTAAGGAGGTTCATCTTTAGTCTTTAGATAAGATTGTTTTTGTTCATTCTAATCTCTCTGTCATCTTATAGATTTGAACCTTTTCCTTTTATTAAAAAAATGAAACAAATAAAATCATTTGTTAGATATGTGTAAGAGCATGCATGTTAATTGACGTGAATAGTTTGCTGGCTTGCATGCATATGCTTGCTATGGGTGATGACTGGCATTGGTTCAACTTGATTAGATGGTATATTTCTATTACAAATTGTCCTTGAAATGTTATGGTCTTATGGATATGTTACAACTGCTGTTCAGCATCCGATCAGAAGAGAAATGTTGAAAATGGGCAATGCTTTTATAATATGATGATTGCTTATGGGCAATATTTTTATAGGTGATGAGCTTTATGTGATTCAAAAGCTAAAACATTTTGCAGAGCCTGTTACTTCAGAATCTCAGGATATTTCTGATCTTGCATTTGAGATGAGTGAACACTTCTCTTTTAGGTGATTGGTAGCTTCCATTGGCCTCACCAAGTGAATTGGGTAATTTGTGCTGGAAGTGAAGGCTGTTTAATCAATGTTTCCTCAGTTCGTTTGTGCGTTTGTTTGGTAATGGAATATTACTTTGTTTTGTTTTTCATAAACAATATTTAGCTTCTTTCGGAATTCATGTTTTGGTTAGATATGCTTATATGGAAGATGATTGCGGGAGAAAAACTTTTTTTTTATTTAATCTCTTCATAATTTTCTTAATCAATTGATAATATGCATATACTCTGTAGACGTAACTTGAAGAGTTTATGTCTAACGGAAGTAAAATGTAAAAATTTCTTTTTACCATGAATTCATTTGACGGGTTCACGGGAGTAAAAAACTTATAATTGTACGTTTGGTTTGATGCTAATATGAAATAGAGTATGAAACGAATGGGTATTTGGTGGGCATGAAATTGAGTGTTTATCGAGGATTATTAAATATTTTTCAATCAAAGGCAATAGGTATTATATTATTTAGTTAATATGAAATATATATGAATGAAGTGATAAAGGTACGTTGCCGTTTTAGAGATATATTATTAAGAGAAATAATTACGAATTTTGAAAAGAAGTTGATTGCTAGGGATTGTAAAACGGATATAGAAGCACATAATTTATATTAAAAAAAATATTAATACAATTTTGTGGGATGAAAAATAAACAAAAAGCTTTTAAAGCTATTATGACTAATTAGACCTTAATTACTCTAATTGTCTCGCATTTTAAGAATTTAATAATGTATTTAGAGGTGTTTCATTCACAATCAATACAGTGAAATCCTCCGATTAGGACGGTTACTCGAACGTATCTCAAGTACAAATAATACACCAAAATCTGATCATTTGGTGATTTTCCAAACGTTACCATTGATTAACGAGTATTTCATTGTGATATTGCAGTATATAACAAAACTAGCCATTAATGTTTAGTATAAAGATACCATGACCATGTAAGGCCTAAGAAAACACAAATTTGGATTATGAATGAGACATGATCAACTATGGCAGCTAAATTACATGAAACCATATCTGCACATTATGTTGCAGTCTCATCCCAAGTTTCTTTGCCAATAAAGTTAGTACCCTGTTTGTATGGCAATTTGAGGATCAAGTTCCGAGAAATTTAGCTCTCAATCTTTGCCGGCAATTAGACACCGGCAACGGCAGCTGCGGTGGCGGCAAGTCGGCCTCCGCCTTTTATTGAAACGGGAGAGTAGTAGTTCGAGCTTACGTTGATCAAATGAGAATCTAGAAACACAACTATGACTGTTATATCATCATGAAAATGTCTCCTCACCCCTCTGTCAATCTTGTTCAGGTCTGAGTATCTCATTTCTCTTTTCCTTGCTGCTTCCTTGAGTGCAGCTTTAACAAGTCTCCTTGCAATGCCCTGCATTAGAAACAAGAGTAAACCCGAAAATCCCTTTTTTTTTGTGCCAGCCATTATGCCATAGGTATTTGGAAACTTACATTTCGTGGGCTAATCTGGACAATTTTGACAACCTCCTGGTTGCTCAAGTGTTCCCAGAGACCATCCGAAACAAATACGAGAAACCGGTCGTCGGGATGGAGTTCATGTACCAACAATGATGGCTCGGCACTAAGGATCGGCTTTTGAAACGATTCGGACAGTCTAAATTTAGGCAGGAGAGGCTCTTTGTTGAACTCTGCCTTCTTTAGATATGCATCACCAATGGATCTTGAAATCTGCAGTCATTAAAGATGGATCAATAAGAGACTTAAAATGAATTTATTTTCGGTTGAGCCATGTAGCTTACCTGTATCAGGCCCTTGACACGCCAAACTTTGTGTTTCATCACAACAATCTGTGGATCATCGGGATGCGATAACCGGAGCTCATCCCGTATGGCATTAGAATTCGCATTGTGTTCGGTCGATAGCTGCATCGCCATAACTTCCTTAGTTCCTCTTACTGATCTGCCTAGGACTACTCTGGAATCACCGGCATTTGCAATGTAGAGTAGTCCATTGCAAATCAACCCTGTCAAACAGCAAGATCCAACCGAAGCCATTCGCGGCTTACTGAGCCATTGTTTCTTCACTAGAGAAAGAAATTCGTCTTCCGTTGCCAAGAAAGCCTTTCGGAGATCATTTATCGATATGCCTTGATTCTCAGACACAAATGCTGCAACATCAAGAGAAACATAATAAGCATTAGGCCAACTTAAAATGGAACTTCATTGATGAACTTACACTTAAAATTGCAGAAAAGGTTGTCATTGATGAAGCTGGACGCCTCAGGTCCACCATGTCCATCATACACACCGACGAAAGTCCCATACGGACCGGAACAGCTCGAACTCAACGACCCCGATTGGAGTTGGCTTTGATCCTCCAACAAACTATTGGCTTGAATCACTGCCATGGAGAAATCTCCATAAACATGTTGCCCCAAATCTTTACACCACAACAAACCATCAAGGCACCCTCTAGAATCACACTCAACAGATGGCTTCCAACAGGATTTAACCATTTTCAGGCAATCAATGTTCCAGAAAATATATGTTCATAAAAACCCTGATAAAAAAAGAAGATCCCGAGGCTCAAGTTTCTATTTTTTCCACAGTACTGGATAACCCAATGCTTAGAACTATATAACCAAGAACTTAGACACCATTATTACCTGACCAAGTCTCAGACAAGGACCAAGCTTGGTATGGGCAAACTCAACTGCAAAGTGTGTTTACTTTGAGACAAGAAAGCAATAGTTTTAAAGTGAGTTCAGAGAATATGGAGGTGTGCTGGTGGCTGAGTACCTTGAATCTGGGTTAAATGTCTTTGGTCCCTTACACTGTGTGCCATGTTTCAGCAACAGACTTAGCTGGAAAAGCAATGGATAAGAGGAGAGCTTGGGGTTTTTTTGGCAGATCTTGAGTTTTATTTTTATACACAGTCAGAGGAGATCCAAGATCAGAATAAAAAGAGATTTAAAATCAGGGTTTCTGACATTGTTGTTCTTTTGTTATTGGAACATAGTTCTTTGTTCCATCTCTTGTTTCTTTTGCCCTAAAGCCATGAGATTATTGCATGGCTGAGATTTCAAGTTTTCATTTTTGTACAAAGCCCAAGGTTTTAGGCAAGTTTTATTCATGATTTACTTTAACCTACCATCATTTCATTGCTATTTTCACACTTGACCCTTTCTTAAACATGTTAAACAAGCATTTGAAGGGCATTCATTAAATCTATACATAATATCAAGATTAATCCAAACGTTTTTCTACTTTAATATATATTTTTTATAGTATTGTAATCCCGATATTTTAATTTTTTTTATCAAAGTAGTCGATATTGAATAAAAATCATTACTTAATTAATAGTCAATACATATTATTAATGTGATATTTCTATATATATTACATTAATGACATTTCATCTAATATAAGAGTTAACATGTGTCACGTCACCCAAGATGATGACGTGATATGTCTCACATTATCCAAAATGATGATATAGTATGTGTCATGTTACTTATATCATGTCATCTACGGTGATAACATAAAACATGTCATGTTACCTAAAACGATAATATGAAATGTATCACATCATCCAATGCAATAACATGACATGAACATGTAAGCAACTAAATACATGTAAAAATGTCACATTAACAACATGCGTTAATCGTTAATTAATTAACGGTTTTCATCTAATATGGACTATTTTAACCAAAAATAAGATATTAAATGTCAAAATACTCTTAAGAAAAAAAGAATACATACTAAAGTGATAATTTAGATAAACGTTAGAATCAATTTTAACATTATACCCTATATTTAGCAAATTCTTTACCATATAAAGCTTGGGGATTCCCAAAAAGAAAAACCAAATGGTTTGCAGTGAAATCCTGGTCATATTATTCTGCAAGTTTCTCCACCAGCAGTTCATTTCCTCACTGGTTTCCAACATATCTGTAAAACAAGAAAAGGGTTTCATTCTCTTCAAGATTTGAGATCAAAATCACACATTAAAGTTTTGATTCCTCTTTCTTCTTTTTTCTGAATCACATAATGGAAGAGCTTGGAAGTGAAAAGAAAGGATTTGCAAAGTTTGGGGTCCATTGGATTGATGGAGAAATGTTTGGTAGATGCATTATTTTTCCAGCTCTTGGACAGACATAAACAGAGCAACTAGGGTGACCTACAGGACCATCTTCAACCATGAATACCATAATCTCACACTACAACCATTAATGGCTACCGAAACGTAATCAGTTCTTTGTACTTGTCAATCTACACTTGACATCCAATAATGTCCACATTATTTTATTACTTTTTTAAGGGAAATAAGGTTGGAGGCTCAACTTTCCTTTTCTTTCTTTTTTGAGCCTATTTAGTATATATAACCATATAATATAGTATTTTAACATATTTTTGAAACCGTATAATATATAATTTTAAAAATATTTTTATATATGGTTTTGAAAATATTTTGGTAAATTGTATATCAAGTAAAATGGTAAATTAAGGTGTCTAATCAACCTAATCTTAAATGATCGGTGGCTGCTCCATCACATCAAAATTAAGTTGAAATCCGATTTCGGGCCCAATCAAAGGACGATTATGACAATTTGATGTTATGTATTTTCTAAGTTATTTATAATCTCATTAACCCTTAACAATCTATAAGTTTTAGATAGAAGATAGGGATGGAATCGGAATGAAATTTTAAATTTTGTATGTGTAAAATTTTCTTAACCTATTGACAACTCACTATAAATGTAACTACTCGAATCTAAGATTTTTAGGGAGAACAACATCTACTTTTAAATTTAAGACCACTTAATAAGTCTAAATTGATATTATTTTTTTAATATAATAATTATGTTTCAATTAATATATATCTAACATTTTGATATTCTGACAATTACATTGTTTATAATCTTTGCATATAAATTCAATTATTCATATCTATTATATTTTGTCGTATGTTATTGTAGGCTCATGAACCAGTGGGTTTAGAGGCAAGTCCATGGTGGGTTTCTAATGAGCTTAAGATCAAGTCACCGTACCCCTCAGGCCAAGCCCCATGGAATGCCAGCACTAGGACTCCCAAATGTCTCAACATTAATTTATTGAAAGACTAGATTGAATAAAATGTCCATTTGAGGGATTAAACAATCAAAAGAGTGGGGGTTTTAAAATTTTATCTTTTTATTATTAAAATTTTATAAATTTATCTTTTTTTTTAAAAAAAAATTATTCCCCAAACATAAAATTCTATATCTGTCATTGACCATGAGCAAAAGACTTACGGAGGATTCACTTTCCTAAGTATAATAATTTTATTATATTTTTAAAATTAATTCGTTAATTATTCTTTTACACACTAACGTATACCGTGAGAAGAAATAAAACATTTTGATTACCTTAGTTGATTATGAATTATGATTTTATTCTTTAATCCCACCAACTAACATTTTGGGTTGAGCAATCATATTTGACCGGTTGATTAATATGTTTATCTTTTTCCTTTTATATTTTTTTTAAATTATGGATTCTAAATTTACTACGGGTATTTCCCTTCTTTTATTTATAATTTTTTTTTGAATAAGATTAAGATTAAATTTAGAATTTATAAAAAGAAAAAAAAAACTTTTTGAGGACAAAATCAAGACATAAATATTAACTGAAAACACGTGAATTCTGGCACCGACCAAACTGCACTAGTAAATCAGCCGAGGGAATATGTGCTCATGGTTTTTCAGATTTCTATCCATGTTCTTTTGCCTAAAGTCTCGAAAATGTTTAAGGAACGAAATTAAATTAAGGTTAAAAAAAGTGCAACTAAAAATATTTAAAAAAATAATATTTTTGGTTGAACTTAACTAAAAATGTTAATTCTTTAACATTTACGCATTCTAAAATGTTACCTCATTCATAATATTTCCGGTAGAAGCTGAATGTTAAAAAAATAACATTTTAGGTTACATAAATAACATTTGAAGTTACGCTCAACTAAAAATATTAAAAAAATAACATTTCTAGTTACGTTTATAAACTTAAATTAGGCCGTCGTACGACATAACTACCTGTAGAGTCTTAAACTCTATTTAACAGGATTTATAAAGTGTTCTTGATTTTAAAATTATAAGTAATACTAAACAAGTAAATTCCATTTATGTGTTAAAACTACGTTCTTTTTGAAGTTTCGAATTTTTTTTTGTTTTAGTTTTCTGTAATTTTCTAGTTTTTCTTTGATAATGTCATTTTAAGTAACGGTCTAATGCTATCATTTCTTTTCTTTTTGTTTATTTTATTTATTTAAGTATTATTTTCGATTTGATTTTTTTGATGTCACATGCTTAAAGTGTTTGTTTATGTTTGGTTTTATGACACAGTTGTTGATATGTTTTTATGGCACGATTTTCTCTATCGTTATGATAATTTGACCTTTCGTGTTGCATTCATCACAATGCACCTTATGATTAGGAAAGGTCGACGATCTTGTATAATTATATCCCTTTTGCGACAGTTTTTCGATGCATTAAGAACTGTGAAGTGATATGTCAAACCGATTCTCTCAACATCTAGGTCTTCACTAATATTGCGTATAGGTTCAATTAGAGACATAAAAGTTATCGATGATAATTAGGTTTTTTTAAAGAAAAAACATGTATTCAAGAAAAGATTTTGATTTTATTTTTCACGCATTTTTAGTTTTCATGTTGAGATTGTGTCGCCTTTGTTATCATCCTTTGAGGTCCTTAATTCGAGCATCGCATAAATCAAAAATATAAACGTTCATTATTAAAAAGTTGAAAACTTTTTAACAAATACTACCGCGTAATGACACCAGATTTGTAAAAAGAAAAAATTGCATTTCAAGCTCAGCATGTGCTATAATAGAGAAAATGGAAAAGTGGATCATGCCAAAACGTTGGGGTCCAAATCAATGTACTAAATGGAGAGTCACATCCCCACATCACATGCTAGTTGAGAGAAACTTTTGTAACAACAACAAAATAATCTGATTAAAGGCAACATAAATATACAACTACAAAGCTTATAGTATCAGGCACTTGTTCATTATACATACAATCTGTCTTTACCATTTTGCTCCAACGCAAGAAAACACAACATCTGTTCTCTTTCTGTTTTATTATCTAAAAATGGGACAATCATTGATGTTTTACTTGTGTATGATGAATTCAAGACGGCCCCACTCTAATCATTTGTCTTCTTCCCATTGAGCTCTGAATCCTTTCCCTTGCATGCCTTAGACTATCAAGAACTTCACCTACACTTTTGCTGACTATGTGTATCTCGGGTGCCGGCTTCATTTCCGGGAGCTCCAAAGGAACCAATGCCAATGAGTTATCGACATATTCATCGTTGTCGTCTTTGTAATTCATCGTGTTTATCTCCACTGATGAAGGTTCCAAGCTTGAAGAACTGACCAAAACGATGGTACAAAGTGATCAATTTGAAGTTATCGACATATTGCATGTAGGATAAATGTGGGTTACCTTGTATGTTCAATCTGAGGAACTTCATGGCTTGAACTTGATTTGTTGCTGGATTTTTCATATGAAGACTCCTTTGTATCAGATTTGGTGTCTGATGCATTTTCCTTCACAATTTCTGGGATTTCTGAAGCAGATTCTTGAGGGTGTTTAGTACCTGAACTACTTGCAGATGAAACACTGGAAATTGCAGAGCTCTGAGATGAGCTTGACCGCTCTGATTCTTCTAAATCAGGCAATATTTTGAGGGATTCAAGCTTTTTCTTCAACAAATTAAGCCTCTTCTCAGCTTTGTTCATTAATTTGGTCTCTTGTTTGAGTTTGTTCTCAAGTTCAAGCATCTTGAGATTTAAGAACAACAAGAATCAAACAGAAAATTCAGATCTTTTCCTTTAGAAAATTGAAATACAAGGAAAAAATGGTTGAAACCTAAATTGATGGATTCAGAAACTGACCTTACTTTCCATAAGCTGAGCATCTTCTTTAGCAGACTTGGAAGCTTGTCTCTCAGCAAGAAGCCTTCCTCTCAAGCACTCCACAGTCCTCATACCTTCTTCTCCCCCCATCTTCTTTTCACTAAACAGAAGAAACCCACTTAAAATCATGAATCAAGCTTGCCAATAACAAGCACAAATTAAAAAAAAAAAAAACCCACCTTTATTTCACTTGCATTGTACAATGATCTTACCTTTATTTCAGTAACTTTGTACGAAATGCCTAAAAAAGTAAGTTTAGCCTGCAGCAAGCAATGGGATTCTTCTTCTTTGCACTATTTTTCCCCTTGGGAAGACGAATCTTTGCTGTTTGAAATCCAAGGGCAAGGCTTGGACTCTTTCATCATATCCTCAGTTGGCTTTATATGTTCATCCACCAAACCATAATATTTGGCCATTTATTTACTTTTCTTCACTTCCATAACTTTCAATTATCATTATTCAAATTATTTTGATTAAACCCTACGGAAAAAGCAAAAGAAGAAGACAAGTTTAAGCTTTGTTTAGCACCGCAAGAACAGATAAACGACATATGTAGTATTTAATGAATTTTTGTTCACATACAAAGCCCGGGGGAATTTAAATTTTTAATACGGTTTCAAATTTTGAAATTACATCACGGGATACCCAGCCATTGTACCTGCATCTCTCACGTGATGTCCCTGAAATATTATTATTATTATTATTTTGTTCCTATTTTGTGGATTTAATCTTGAGATTTATCAATTCTGTTTACACCTTCGAGATATGAAGATGATGAATGAAAGGTGTTTGTAATAAAATATATTCAGTTTAACACAATATTATATAACTGGAAAGATAAGCAAAGCCCATGGTATCATGAAATCATATGGCATGATAATAATTAAGAGTATGGAAAATTGGATTGCACTTCACTCAAAGAAACCCAGTTTTAGCATTCATCTTTTACTTATTTCACACTGATTTCTTTCTCTTCTCTATAGTATTTTATTTGTTATGCAACTTGGACATTATCATTTTAAATCTACAAATCTTCAAAACTATAGACTCATGCAATTTGCAAACCTTCGTAGAAACCTCACAACTCAGCTTGTAAAACATTAGCGACTCCTACACTCTTACAAAATTCAAGTCAAAATTTTTGTTAACTTCTGAATAAGATGTTTTATCAAACAATATAAATTTAACTTCTAAAATTAGAATAATATATAATCTTTTAGAATATATTTAAAATAACCTCGTTATCTTAAATTATTATTGAAAGTAATAACCACAATCATTCATATTCATTCTTAGTTCGTGGCTTTTATGGTTTTGATTAACGTTAGCGATAGATAAAATTAGATTTGATCTTACAAGTTATAAGTTACCTCTAACAAGACATTATGACTATCCAAGTTAAATAAAAAAACTCATGATCTGAAATAACCTTAACGCAACTCGTGTCACAGTCCTTTTATAATATAATACATGAAAAATATCAACCTTATATCGCTCTATCTTTAGTTTCTTGATGTCCAATTGAATTGAATAAACAAATGACATTGATCTCCATCAACTCATTCGAGCATGACCATGTATTTCTCAGTCTCAATCATCGAGGGACCTTGAGATACCTCTCTTATGATAAGAGAGATAAGTTTCATCTTAATCACTCACATCTCACTACATGATTCTTGTCATGTTCAAGCACAACATTTATAATTGCCCGATTAAAGACAACGTTTGATTATGTCAAAACATAATAATCACCATGTTGAGAACCGTATTAATTTCAGGTCCAATAAATTAATGACATAACAACTGAAGATTAATATATGATATTGATCCATGTATTAATCTCAAAACGACCCAAATCAATATTTGTTCTCAACAAATACATATGAACTTAATTTAAATAACATTCACATATTCATCTTATGAATATCTATCAAACTTCATAATAATCTTATTTTGTTATCATTCTCACAATAATAATCTATTAGGGATATTTAAAAAATTAACAATGATATTTAAGGATATTGATATAAACAAAAGATATATAAATTATTATAACAATAAATCCAAATATCAAAATATCATATCTATACAATATAATGCACTATTGCTAACAGCCCCGACATTAAAGCAATCCTTAGGATTCTATCGCCACATGCAACAATTAGGCCTATCATTGAGGAAAAAGAGTGAGTATAACAATCTCATATCACACTAAGGGGCTGTTTGTTTACTTCAGAATGATTAAACGCTGAATGATTCAAATGCTGAATAATTCAGAGACTCTGTATGAATTAGCTATGAATATGACATGCTGTTTGATAATGGCTCTGAATCATTCAGAATGTATTTTTGTGCTGAATCATTCAGCACTGTTTTGTTGAATCAGTCAGCACTGAATCATTCAGAGGTGCGAAACAAACGCACTGAATGACGAATGATTCCATTAAGAGGCAAACAAACAACCCCTAACCATTTGCATCAACTGAATGAGAGTGACCCAGAATTTGGGTTGGGCTCAAGTTTCGTGTGATTTTGGGCTTGGTCAGGCTGGTGAAAATTGGTGAATTTTAAGACTGGACCCGTACGGCATTAGTGTCTAAACAATCAATAAAAAAAGTTGAGTTAATTGCATCATATGCTTTCAAATTATGATATTCATTTTTAATTAGTCCCTAATTTTTTAAACATTCTAATTTAATCCTTATACTGTGATTGTCATTCCAAATTAGCCATCAAACTTTTGAACATTATAATTCCATCCCCAAACTATGACCTTCATTCTAAATTAATACTTAAACTTTTTGAACATTTTATTTTCATCCCAAACTATACATATATACTAATCACATTCATTGTTAATAAAATCGTTAGGCTAAGTTATATTATTATATGTTTTAAAAAATAAAATTTAGGTTAAACTATGGTTGAAACTAATTACATACTTGGATGAATTTAGGGATTAAATTAGAGTATTCAGAAGTTTGGGGACCAATTTAGAAAGAAGGTCATGATTTAGGGATGCAATTAGAATTTTCAAAAGTTTAAGGATTAATTTAAAATTAAAGTTATAATTTAGAGATGAAATTAAAATATTTAAAAATTTAAGGACCAATTTAAAATGAGGGTTATAATTTGCATGGACTTAACTCCAGAAAATTCTTCAAAATAGATCTCAATCTAAATGCACATTCAATCATCAAGACTTTTGCCACCGGCGCTGACGAGGACACTCCACAGCCGTCTGACCTCGTCGAATATATCATCACAGGGAAGCTGAAACCTGCAACAAGGGCAAGTGTTCCTCTTCTTCAGCCATTGCAAATTTGCAATATAAACATCCAATGGAACAAATGGTGGCACGGCAACTTACACACGTCTCTCCCTTCTCTCATCTCCTCTTTGCATATCACGCACTCTACACCCCCGCAGGTGATGCCGCCACCTCCTTCCCTTCTTTCCCACCAAAGCCCATTTTTCCAAAGAGCCTTTTACACCTCGTCACCATTTCGATATACGGGATCAAAGTGGCACCGTCGAAGATGCCCGTGATGCCCGTGATCTTTAACGTGGTGTTAGAGCATATGGTGGTTAAGACTTGGCGCCATTCATTGTGAGGTCTCTCGAGTGCTTCTGGGTTATCATGGTATGCTTCGCAAAGGAAGAGAAGCAGGAGCACGGCGTCGAGGTCGCGGTGGTTTATGGCTGTGGAAGGGTTTGGAAACCGCGGTGGAGGCTGGAAGAAACGGGTGAGTTGGTGGAGGGAAAAGAGGTGGTGGCGGGCAATGAGGAGTGCCTTTTGGGGGAGTGTGAGTGTGTGGAAGCGGTGGAGGGTAAGAAAGAAGATACAAGGGGGAGGAGAGGAGGTGACAAAGACGGCGGCGGAGGTGGAAAGAAAGGGAGAAGATGGAGTAGCTAAGATCTGAAAGCTGAGAAGGGCGGAGAGTGGAGATTGCCGCCATAATTGTCGTCTCTTCTTCCATCATCATACATGGGATCGTGTGCTTTGGGAGGAAATTCGTGGGAGTTTTGATTACTACGGGTGAAAATTTGGCCATTGCATTTCCCTTTTGTAACTAATAATAAATATCTTCTATAAAATAGATAATATTTTAAAGAGTAATTCGATATATTAAAAGTTTAGGATAATCTTTCAATTTAATTAAGTTAACTAAAATTTAATGGTGACGGTCAACTTGTTAATTTTGACATAAAATTAAAAATTTAATTTTAATCAATTTATATTCAAATTTGATTTATCGAATTTAATTATAAAAAGTTATAATATGCAGTTATATAATTTAAATTTAAAATTGTTTAGAACACAAAATGATTCAGAATCAAAATAATATAAAAATTAAAATTTAATCAACAAATAGTTAGTTTAGTATGATGTGATACTATGTTTTTTTATGTAAGATTAGAAGTTCAAATTTTGATATTGTAAATGAAACAAATTGAGTTAGAAAGATTATCCTATAATTAAACTTTTATAATATTTAGGTTGAATTAATCGATCAATAAATCAAATACTAACAATTAAGAATACCTTAAAATATTTTAAAGAGAAAATCGCCTCAGTGACCAAAAAAAGTTATAATATACGATTTTAACCAACTTTTTTGGATTTGCCAAAATGACCAACAAAATCGCAACGCGAAATAAAAATCGCAACGCGATCCCCAGAATCGCAAATCAGTTTCCAAAATCGCAACGCGATTCTTGAAAATCGCAATGCGATAGTACAAATTCGCATTGCGATTTTCCAAAATCGCAACGCGAATATGAAAATCGCAACGCGAACACATAAATCGCAACGCGTATCCGTAAATCGCAACGTGTATCCGTAAATCGCAACGCGTATGGGTAAATCGCAATGCGTATCCGTATATCGCAACGCGTATCCGTAAATCGCAACGAGAATCTGTAAATCGCAACGATAATCCGTAAATCGCAACGAGAATCTGTAAATCGCAACGATAATCCGTAAATCGCAACGAGAATCTGTAAATCACAACACTGAAATTTTGGGTATATAACACTGAAATCATAAACTAAATCCCTAAATCGCAACTCATTCCATCTCCATCTATCACTCTCTCCGGCGACATCCGTTCCTATATCCAACGACATCCTTCCCAATCCGGCAACAGGTTTTAGTTTCGCAGCTCGTCTGTTTAGTAAATTAATTTACAACCATGAAATCATCTAATGTTGATCATGTTTGGATAGATTTGTGTTTTGGAGGGTCATGGGATAATGTTCATGGTGTTTTACAATATATGCCTTTACCCATGAATCTTCAACTAAAATTGTCTTTACAAAAGTTAACTTATGAAACTCTAATGCTACGTGTTTCAAATAAATTGAATTTAGAGCCCCTAAGTGGATTTAGGCTATCTTATCAGAGAAATGGTAAAGTTTATTTGTTAACCGACAATG